TAATGTCAGCAGAGACAGAATCATAAAACTGAATGGAAAGGAAATGCGAATCAGAAATACTGTCTCAGAAATGAATGTCTTTGATGGGTTCACCAGTCAGTGGACATTAAAGAATTAGCGGGCTTGAAGAAATTCCAATAGAAACTTCCACAACTGAAACACAAAGAGAAAAAAACGAAAATGACAAAATGCACAAGAACTGTGGTACAATTACACAAGTTTTAACATACACAAAATGGGAATATCACAAAAGAGAAAAGGACAGAAGAAATATTTGAAACAATGATGACAAGATCTCAAAATTAATAACACACCAAACTATAAAGGAAGCTCAGAGAACAGGATAAACCCCCCCCCCCCAAAAACAACAAACTGTACTTAAAATATATCATGTTCAAACTGCAGAAAATGAAAGACAAAGAGAAAAATCTTAAAGAAGTCAGAGAGACAGAGACAGAGAGACAGAGACAGAGAGAGAGAGAGAGAGAGAGAGAGAGAGAGAGAGAGAGAGAGAGAGAGAGGGAGAGAGAGAGGGAGAGAGAGAGAGAAACAGAGACATCTTACCTATAGAAGAGCTAGGATAAGAATTACATTGGACTTGTCTTTAGAAACCATGAAAGCCAGGAGAGAGGAGAGGAAACATTTAAAGTGTTAAGAGAAAAAAAAAATCTCACCAACCTAGAATTCTGGATCCAGTGAAATTATGCTCCTGAAGTACAGGAGAAATAACGAATTTTACTGACAAGCAAAAATTTGGGGAGTTCGTCACCAGTAGAACAAACTGTTTAGCTAGAAGCAAGAGCATCAGAAACTCGGATCTCCACGACGGAAGAGCTGTACGAAAGAAAGAAAAGGAGACAAAATAAAATCAAAACTTTTTCTTACTCGGAATAAACTTAACACATAACAGTTTGTTCTAAATAATAATAGGAACAAAGGATTCGGTAATGCTAGCATAAGACAGATGGAGTAAGTAACAGAAATGCCAAAGACGAGAGAGAACAACCGGACGTGGGGCCGGGGTGGCATGGAAGCCTCCTGGCGCGACCACACCAAAACTGCAACGACACGACAGAGCAGCCACCGCTGGGAGTCGCCTGAGATCTTGCTGAACAGAAGTCCTACAAGTGGGGACGCACGTAAGAGGCAGGCAGCAGGGGCAGAGGCGCGAAACGGGCGGTGGAGGATAGGGAGGGACCAGTGCCCAGAAGAGTCCCCATCACGTCTGGCTGTGAAAAGCAGCGGACACTATGGCTGAGTGAGGGGGGCTGCGGGAGTCGCAGACGCTCCTCTTAAGGGCCCGCGCGGACTCACCGCTGACGGACTCGCTGGCCCTGAGCTCCGGCGCTGGGACAGCTGCTCGAAAGGCGCCAGGGACACACGGGAAGGGACTGAGTGGTCTGGCTTCAGGGCGAGGGCTGGAGGGTCGGCTTCCTCCCAGACAGAAGTGCTGCTAAAAGCCACTGGTCGTTGGTTGAGGCCTTCCCACTCCCGTGCGGACGCAGGTGGGCACCATATCCGAGTCTCTATCAACCAGGATAACACGGGCACCCGGCCCAGGGGATTCCCTGAGACCTCGCCCCTCCCAATGTGCCGGCCACCCAAGCTGCCTCCAGTAGTTTCTTCCATACAAATGGCCTGGCTCGGCTCATGCTACGGACTTTCCTTAGATCTCTCAAAGGTTCACAAACCCCAAACGAGCAGCATCTGGCCTCAGGGTACAACATGCTTCTTGCTGAGCAGCCTCAAGCCCCACACTAGCAGCAGCTGGCCTCGGTTTCCGGCTTAACCTCTTGAGGCACTTATAAGCCCAGCACAGGTGACAGCCATCTGCGGACTGCTTGCTGGCTCATGCCAGGTGGCCCTGGAGAACACCTACTACAATAGGGCCACTCTACTAAGACCAGGAGACATAGCAGCTCTACTTGATACAGAGAAACAAACATAGGGAGGCAGCCGAAATGGGGAGACAAAGGAACATGTCCTAAATGAAAGTTCAGGAGAAAACGCCAGAAAAAGAGCTAAATGAAATGGTGGCAAGGAATCAGATACAGACTTCAAACCACTGGTTCTAAGGATGATCACGGAACTTAGAGCGAGAACTGATGAACTCGGTGGTAACTTCGACGAAGAGAGAGTGAAATAAAAAAGGACCAGCTGGCTGAATAAAGTGTGTGTTTCCTGTAGCTCAGCGATTTCTGGAGCCCCGTGTGTGTCTTTTGGGGGCTGGTGGCTGCGACGTTGGGAGGCCCCAGCGAGATGACAGGGAGTGGCCCTGGGATCTAAGACCGGACCGGCCTCCGGAGCGGTTGCTGTCCCTGTTACGGACTCAAAGGGGCGGCCACCCTGAGACGTTCCAGGGCCCTTGAACGCCGTGACGGGGTCAACGCAATCATCGAGGACGCGACCTCTAGGACACACTCTTTGTTCCTGGCCCCGCCGGGAATCTCCGAGGCCTCGCGTCTGCATAAAAAGGTACCTTTCTGTTGACCGGTCGTTGGGGGTCCGTGGAGAGACTGGACGCAGTCATATCTCCCGGACCGTGGCCAGGCCGCGGGACGCCGCCTGCTGTGCCCTGTCATCGGGTTCTGTCTATTGTCTTTGGTCTTGTCTGGGTTGTGGGTGGCGGACCTCTCCGGGTCCACCTACGCCCCAGTAATTGTCCTCGTCTGAGTGTCTGTCTTGTGTTTTCCGCGCAAGCGATGGGGGGAGGCCCTAGTTCACGGAAGACACCCTTGGGGTGTCTCCTGCGACATTTCAAAGAAGGGTTTGTAGGCAGAGCTGACTATGGCATAAAGTTTTCTCTAGGCAGACTAAGAACACTGTGTGAAGTTGAGTGGCTACCTTTTGATGTAAATTGGTCTCCAGAGGGTGGGTTGTCGGGAGAGCTGACTATGGCATAAAGTTTTCTTCAGGCAGACTAAGAACATTGCGTAAAGTTGAGTGGCTGTCTTTTGATGTACACCGGTCTCCAGAGGGTTCTTTTGACAGGAGTTTAATGAGGAATGTTTGGAAGATTGTCACGGGAGACCTGGGACATCCCGATCAGTTTCCTACATTGATCAATGGTTAAACCTTGTTCAGAACACCCCTCCTTGGCTCCGCCGGTGTGCCCTTTCTCTAGAGGTGCAAGTCTTAGTTGTGGGCACCCGGAAACATACGGCAACCAAATCTCCAAGACAGCCCAGTCCCTCAGTCCTCCAATCTCCACCAGAGGACAGTGACCTTCCCCTACCCTATAATCCAGGACAACAGAGGCCAAATAGCACCGCCTCACCTCCTCGGACGCGGGCAGGTAACCCCTATGGGCCTCCTGCTCCCGCTCCGGGCGGGGCACCAGACAACACCACCACCCAGCCATCCTCCGCCTGCGAGAAGCACCACCCCAGGGGCATCACACAGACAGGCCCTTTATGGTTTATGTGCCTTTCTCGACTAGGGACCTGTACAGCTGGAAGGCACAGAATCTGCCTTTCTCTGAGAAACCCCAGGCATTAATGGGGCTCTTAGAGAGTGTCTTTCAGACTCATTGCCCCACCTGGGACGATGGCCAACAGCTTTTAGTTACCCCCTTCGCCGCGGAAGAACGAAGAACGCGGACACATTCGGACTGAAACACAAAAGACACCTGCGGGAGGGAGGAGAGCTGAGGAAGCAGGGACCAGACTGAGGAGGAATTTCCCTCCAGCCGCCCAGACTGATTCTCAGGCAGCAAGAACGGCATTAGGTCGGTACCACCAGATTCTAACTGGGGGAATTAGGATGGCTGCTGTCAGCGAACTAACCTTTCTAAGGTAACTGAAGTTATACAGGGACCTCAGGAATCCCCTGGAGCATTTCTTGAACGAGGCATACTAGGTATACACCCCCATTGATCCCGAGGCCCCTGAGAACCAGCGGGCAATTAATGTAGCCTTTGCTACTCGGGCAGCCCCTGATATCCAGCATAAATTACAAAAATTAGAAGGTTTTAAAGGGATGAACCTGTCCCAACTTGTCGAGATGGCCCAGAAGGTGTTCAACAACAGGGAGGCACCGGATGACCCCAAACGTATGGCTAAAATCCAAAGCTACTGTCATCAACCCAGCCAATCTGTTGCCAGACCCAGACCCCCAGACCCCCGTTCATGACTGCACAGATTTCACTGACGCTGTGTGTTCCTCGCGGCCAGACCTCAAACGCTCCCCTCTGCCTGAGGCCGATGAAGTTCTCTTCACGGACGGGAGCAGCTTCATGCAGGAAGGAAGGAGGTACACTGGGGCAGCGATCGTAACTCTAACTGGCACCATCTGGTCGCAGGCTCTTCCCCATGGGACTTCTGCTCAAAAGGCCGAACTCATCGCCCTCACTGAGGCACTAAGATGGGGAAGGATAAGGCGGTCACAATATACACTGACAGCCAATACGCCTTTGCCACTGCTCATGTACACGGAGCCATCTACGAGGAAAGAGGGCTTCTGACTTCAGCTGGGAAGAACAGCAAGAACAAGGGTGAGATCTTAGCCTTACTTGAAGCCATATAGATGCCTAAGGCTCTTGCTATTGTTCTTTGTAAAGCGCATCAAAAAGGGAACAGTCCCGAGGCTGAGGGAAACCGAGGAGCCAATGCAGAGGCAAGAACAGCGGCCACAAGGCCAGTAGGGCCCCCACCACATCTGATGACTGTTGTCCCTTACCCAGAACTGCCT